CTGGCACAAACGGCTCGATTAGTTCCGGCTTTGATGAAGGTCCGCCTTCCGAAAAACAAAATGTGTTGTGATTGGTTAGCTGTCCCAGTGCGTTGTGATTGGCGAACAGCTTAGACGGTGTTCATACTGCCACGCCCCTTGCTCCGTCTTTCAACAAAAGCTTTTGGAATCCCACTCATTCGTGTTGTGGAAGCTGTCCTCAGTAAAATGCGCAGCACACAATGGCAAATTGGGGTTATAATGCTCAGGAACAGAGTTAAAAAATAAATTGCAACCACTGTTTCCTGACATCATCCGCTCTTGGAAGCTGTTTGGGTACGGAGGTGAAAAAAACAGCGTTTCAGGCGGTCGCACACCGGACGAGAAGCACAGCGTCGCGCCACGTCTTTAAAATTCAAATACATTATTTTCTATGAGTGTAGGCACACCGGTGGTGCCGTTCGGCATCTGTCCGCGGCGCCCAGCTTACTTTACGTCCTGTTATACTTGTAAGAATTGTTCTAGACCAGCGGTTCTCAATTCCAGTCCTCGCGTACCCCTGCTCTGCATGTTTTGCATGTCTCTCTTTGTTAACACACCTGATTCAGATCATCTCGTTAGAGCTCCGTGCATGAACTGTGTTCCGATTGACATGGTCCCGACACAGTGTCCATTGCTCCCTACTACCTGAGCAGGGGAAATCCGTTGAAGTTTACTTCACTTCGGAATATTCATTTACAGATTTGCGCTGCGCCGCTGCCTGCAGCGTCTTCACACTAGGGATGCAGCGATTAACCGGTTTCGCGATTAACCACGCTTTAAAACGGCACGGTTAATTAATCGTAAAGGTTCCGCTAAACCGAGTGTTTCTGTTACACGGAACGGAACTGTAGCAGCTTGCGCAAAACGAAAAAAGTTACACTAGCGGTGCACCAACTTAAAATGATGTGCTCATTAGAGGCACGGAGGCTACTACATGCATTAGATGAACTGTGACAGAGGGACCAAACAGCGAAGCTTTATTTCCACCAGAGAAATGCCTGTCCATAGTGTGGGACCATTTTGGGTTCACCAAGAATGACCAGGGTGTCATTTAAATATTGCTGTAAAAAACTGCTGCTAAAGAGCGAATACATAAGGGATAATGCACGGCTTGCTGTACATTGAATGATTTTAATGCACGACATGAAGGCAAGAACCACCTGACGCGAAGCTACAGTTCGTTAGCTCCGCATTCTGCCCACTTCAGATCAGAAAGAGATGAAAGAGTGCGGTCGAGAGAGAGGTTGCCTGTGTGAATTAGCCTACCTGCGTCTGTGCGTCTCTCCAGTAGGCTATTTAATCTATTTTATTAATTTATTAATCGGGGCAGCATTCTCAAGAA